GCCTGGCTAATTTTTTGTATTTTTAGTAGAGATGGGGTTTCACCATCTTGGCCAGGCTGGTCTTGAACTCCTGACCTCATGATCCACCTGCCTCAGCCTCCCAAAGTGCTGGAATTACAGGTGTGAGCCACCATGCCTGGCCCGTAATTTTTGTATTTTTAGTAGAGATAGGGTTTGATCATGTTGGCCAGGTTGGTCTCGAACCCTTGACCTCACATGATCCGCCTGCCTCAGCCTCCCAAAGTGCTGAGATTACAGGCATGAGCCACCACACCTGACAACTTTAACCATTTTTTTTCTTTTACGTCATATATACATCACTGTTTCTCAACCTTTGTTTTCTTCATTATCTCCACCCAAAAGCTTTTTTTGACTTTTTCCCTAATAACACTCCCTCTACTCGCCCACATGAAATTTTAGTGTCACAACAGACATATTGTATATCTATTCATGTACTCTATGTATATCTGCAGGGCTGCAGGGCCAAGGCCTTTTACTTGGATGTGGGTCCTCTGGTTCAGTTCTGCCTTGGATTTCTTCCATGCTGATAATCCATCCTCTGATTCCTAACTTGAGTTTGTTTAGAATGAAGGTGGAGCAAGACATTTTAAAAGCAAACAGTATAGAATCATAGACAGTGTTTGTGATTCTCTTCCCATGCTCACCATTCAACAGCTTTTTATTTATTTATTTATTTATTTTTATTTTTTTTTGAGGCGGAGTCTCGCTCTGTCGCCCAGGCTGGAGTGCAGTGGCCAGATCTCAGCTCACTGAAAGCTCCGCCTCCTGAGTTCCGGCCATTCTCCTGCCTCAGCCTCCCGAGTAGCTGGGACTACAGGCGCCCGCCACCTCGCCCGGCTAGATTTTTGTATTTTTTAGTAGAGACGGGGTTTCACCGTGTTAGCCAGGATGGTCTTGATCTCCTGACCTCGTGATCTGCCCGTCTCGGCCTCCCAAAGTGCTGGGATTACAGGCTTGAGCCACCGCGCCCGGCCTACAGCTTTTTAAAAATAACTTGTTTCATTAAATCTTTCCAAGGCATTTAATTTCATTTTCATAGAAACAACTATTTTCTCTCCCACAATTATATTTTATCACTATGCAATGTTATTCTGATTTTGTAATTTCGAAGACAAGAAAATTGGTTGGGGTCAACACACCAGCTAGGGGAAGGAGGCAGAGCTAGTGAGAGAAAATACACGAAGAAATAAATCGGTGAAAGAGGTAACATAAAGCAAATAGTAACTAACAATTTTGTAGAAGTTACTAGGTATGAAGCACTGTTCTAAGAGCTTTACAAAAGTGAACTCATTTAATTCCCACAAGAGAGTGCTATTATTATCACCTACTTTACTAATGAAGAAACTGAGGCACTGAGAGGTCAGTTGTCTTTGTCAAAAGTCCTTTCAAACAATAAATTTTTAGAACATTTTCCACCGAGATGTTTTGAAGACATACTACCAATGCAATCTGCCTTTCTTTTACAAAGTCTACTGAACATAATGTAATCTGTCTTTGAAGTGGCATAACTAATAAAAGTAGGCCAATGAAAATTTAATGTGCCTTCCCTTTTGGGTTTCACAAAAATATTTTTCTTTGTTCTCAAGAAGCCAGAAAATTGAGTTCAGCTAAATCAGGAAGAGATCCTTGTTGGGAAGAGGAAAGGACTTCATTGCCCTTTTTTCCATCCTTTCTTTCCTGAGGAGGGCGAATTTACCAAAGAACCAAGGGCTGGGAACTGAGTAATCTTTGTGGATGAAATTTTTCTTTAAAATTGGCTACATCTGCAGGAGTGGATACCTGAGGCAGCAGTGGAATGAGGTCAGTCAAGTTTACAAGCAGCCAGCCATCTGCTCTCAATAGTTTGGGATCTGAGCTGAGATGCAACCCTGCTGAGTCCACCTCACCTCCACCTTGCTATATTCTCCCCTTCCCACTTCTTCTATTCCCCCTTTTCCTGGCTTCTGCTCTGAAAGCTTCTCTCCAGCCCCCAAGCAGGAGCAGTAGCTGCCCTAACAGGAGCTGAAGCTAACCTGGGTCTTGCTCTAATTGTTCATTTGTTCCAGGCCAGCAGCCTGCTACTGCTAGGGCCCAGCGGCTAGGGTGCTCCGAACTCCAAGGAATCAGAGACCTTATTTGTATGTTTGACTCTATAGGTCCAATGCCTAGCATAGTTCCTCATACCTAACAGATACTCAATAAATATTTATTGAATAAATAAATGAATGGAAGAATGACCTGTAGGCCTTGATCCAATTCATTTGCTTAGTTTACTAGTGTCCTTCATAGTTGTGGATCTGTCTAACAAAAATTAATTTCTGTAATGAGATTATTTATCTGAAGAGTCCTGGAGTAATTTTTAGCTAGTCCCGTGAATCACCGTTTTTCATTTCCTTCCATTTGTTTCCAGTTGAAATGACTGGCATTTCCTCTCTTCCATCTAAAAAAATCTTACCCATTGTTCTTACCTCATCTCAATGGCTAAGTCTTCACTAAACCTTCTCAGATGACCCCATTAAAAGTGGCCATTCCCTCCTGTAAACTCTGAGAGCATTATGGTTGTAGCTCTTTTCATAAGTGCATTATACAAATTGCTTTCATATCCTCTTGTTTTCTTTATCCTTATGTAAACGAATTGTTCTCTGAAAAGGAATTTAGAGGAGAGAGACTATCCCAATAAACAGTTTGCAAACCTGAGAGCCACAGATTTCGGTGTAAAAGGAAGGTTTGGTTCTATTTTAAGTTAGTCCTAGTTAGCCAGTTGGGATCCATCTTGAAGGACTGGCTCTTTGAGGTTTGTTTACACAACTTCCCTGAGTCAGAATATTGGACAAATGTTATTCTCCTTTTACAGGTAAGATTTGGAGAGGTTAATGGACATGTTCAGTTATACAAGCCCAGAAAATAATGGAGGTACACTAGAACTCAGACCTCTTCCTTATTCCTGTAACCACCCAATGGGTTTACTCTGCTGGCAGTCTAGACAGAGCCAATTTATAAAGACAGGGGAATTGCAATAGAGAAAGAGTAATTGACGCAGAGCTGGCTGTGTGGGAGATTGGAGCTTCATTTCTACTCAAGTCAGTCTCCCAGAGCATTCAGGGATCAGAATTATTTATTTATTTATTTATTTATTATTATTTTTTGAGACGGAGTCTCACTCTGTCGCCCAGGCTGGAGTGCAGTGGCGCCATCTCTGCTCACTGCAACCTCTGCCTCCCAGGTTCAAGTGATTCTCCTGGCTCAGCCTCCGAGTAGCTGGGACTACAGGTGTGTGCCACCACACCCAGCTAATTTTTGTATTTTTAGTAGAGATGGGATTTCACCATGTTGCCCAGGACGGTCTCAATCTCTTGACTTCATGATCCACCCGCCTCGGCGTCCCAAAGTGCTGGGATTACAGGCGTGAGCCACCGCGCCTGGCTGGGAGCAGCAGAATCTTTAAGGACAACTTGGTGGGTAGGGGGAAGCCAGTGAGCTGGGAATGCTAATTGGCCAGGTCAAAGATAAAATCATAAGGAGTGCATGTTGTCTTCTTGCGGTATCAGTTCCTGAGTGGGGGCCACGAGATCAGAGGAGCCAGTTTATTGATCTGGGCGATGCCAGCTGATCCATCAAGTGCAGGGCATGCAAGATATCTCAAGCACTGGTGGTAGTTTTTACAATAGCGATGTTAGCTCCAGCAGCAATTTGGGGAGGGTCAGAATCTTGTAGCCTCCAGCTGTATCACTCCTAAATCCCAATGTCTAATCTTGTGGCTAATTTGTTAGTCCTACAAAGGCAGTCTAGTCCCCAGGCAAGAAGGAGGTTTGTTTTGGGAAAGGGCTTTTGTCATCTTTGTTTCAAACTATAAACTATGAATTACATTCCTCCCAAAGTTAGTTCGGCCTACGGCCAGGAATGAACAAGACAGCTTAGAGGTTAGAAGCAAGATGGTGTTGATTGGGCCAGATCTCTTTCTGGGTTTAATTTTGCAATGGCGGTTTCATTCCCAGTCCAGTTCTCTTTATAGTGCTGTGCAATGATGTGCTCATGTTCTGGTATGTATTATTATTATTCTGTGTCAGTGTTATCTTCCCTACAAGATTGTAAATTTCTAGGACCTAACTTCTTAGGCATGCTAATAATATTAACTCAGTGAACAAATTAATAGACCCTCAAAACTTAAAATTCAGGAATAGAAAACAAAAATAAAGATTTTTCTTCCTGTCAACTGATTCTGCAAAGGGTATAAGGAGCAAAAGAGCTGCCAAGTTGGTACAGGAGTTGGAAAACACCATAAGCTTCAACTGCTGGTTAATTTTTGCTTTAAAAAGCTTGATGGAGGCCAGGCGCGGTGACTCACGCCTGTAATCTCAGCATTTTGGGAGGCTGAGGCGGGCGGATCACCTGAGATCAGGAGTTTGAGACCAGGCTGGCCAACACGGTGAAACCTCGTCTCTACCAAAAATACAAAAATTAGCCAGGTGTGGCGGCACGTGCCTTTAATCCCAGCTACTCGGGAGGCAGAGGTTGTAGTGGCCAGAGATCGCGCCACTGCATTCAGCCTGGGCAACAGAAGGAGACTCCGTCTCAAACGAAACAAAACAAAACAAAAACAAAAACAAAAAAATCTTAATAATAAAATGGGCTTTTATATATACAAATCAGCACAAACTCATTTGAGGGAGAATAAGATTTACAGACTTGCTTACAACTCTCTTTCCCTGCTCAGGCTCCTGAGTAGCTTGGATTACAAGGACGCGCCACCACACCTGGCTAACCTTTGTATTTTTAGTAGAGCCACGGTTTCACCATGTTGGTCAAGTTGGCCTCAAACTCCTGGCCTCTGTGATCCACCTGCCTCGGCCTCCCAAAGTGCCAACATTACAGCGTGAGCCACCGCGCCAGGCCACAACTTTCTTCTGTGTAATTTCCCCTTAAATACAGCCATTTACTTGGGGGTGGTGTAAGCAAATTGTCTCTTCAATTTCTCTCCTGGGGTGGGAGAACTGTGGCATTAAACAGAAATGCGAACAGTAGTTGAGGGTAGGAAGAAAGGCTGCCCGGAAGGGGGTCAGGAAAGCTCAGGCAAGCCCACCCTCAGGCACTGCAGCTAGACTCCGAGCTCAATGGGCAGGCATCTGATTCGACCAACATCAGTTCACAGGGCTTAATTAAGCCCAGTCCCTTAGGGAGGCCTCGGGAGGGCCAAGGCCCAAGTATATAAAGCTCCCTGAGGGTCAGCGTTGGCTCTGCGCCTGCGACTGTGATTGAAAAACGTCCCAGTGCCCTTGTCTCTTTTCGGAATCTGACCCCGAGCTTGCACGGGACACACTGCCCAGCTCGGGTGAGAAGGGCAGCTTCCGGGACCCTCGCCTTTAACAGCACAGCGAGCACAGAGTGCACTGGATCTGCGAGAAGAAACCGCGTTAACTAGTTTGTCCCTAAGGCCGCCTCGTAGTCATCGCCGCGGCGCCGTGCCTCTCCGGGCCGCATTGCCATGGCTGCCCGTGGTGTCATCGCCCCAGTTGGCGAGGGGTTGCGCTACGCTGAGTATTTGCAGCCCTCGGCCAAACGACCCGACGCCGACGTCGACCAGCAGGGACTGGTGAGTGCTGCCAGCGGCCCCCACCCCCGTCTGGCTCCCTTGTAGTTTCTGCTTCTGCCCTCTACCGCCTCACCCTTGAACCTTTGTACTCCCCGCATTCGCTCACCGTCTGTGCCCTAGCGCTCATTTGTTCAGTGGAGAGACCGCCTTCTGCTTGGCTTTGACTATTGGGCGTGGAAGACGGAGCAGTTCTGAGGATCTGTCTCCTCAGGGAGCTTCCAGTCTTGTCTGGGACACAAACCAGAAAATAGGCAATTGCAAATACAGTATAAGTGCTGTATGTGGATTTTCCTATCTCATAGGAGGCCCTAATACCGTCTTGCAGGGGACGTGGTGGGATCAGGGACGCTTCTTGGAGAAAGCTGTAGTTAAAAATTAAGATCTGAATGAATAAAAGCAGTTCATTCAGCAAAGAGAAGGGGAAAAAGTGTTTCAGGTGCCAGGAGTACTATCTCCAGAGTCTCCGGCACAGAAACAGGGCTCTGTTGGAAACTGCAAGTGGTGTATTCTGGATGAACCGTAGAGGTGGAAAAAGGAAGGGTCTAACAGAGAAGTGTCCAGCAGAAACATATTGAGTCACATACGTATTTTTACGTTTTCTGTAGCCATGTTAAACAAGTGAAGAGAAACAGGTGGGTTTAATTTTAACGATGTATTATCTTTAACCTGATACATGCACAGTTGCACGGTAATATTTCAACATTCAATATGAAAAATTGCCCAAGTGGTGGTTTAGGCTTGTAATCCCAGCGCTTTAGGAAGGCCAGGCAGGAGGATCACTTGAGACCATGAGTTGGAGGCCAGCCTGGACAACATAGGAGACACCATCTCTGCAAAAGAAAAATGAAGAATATCAGCTGGGCGTCGTGGTGTGAGCCTGTAGTCCTAGCTACCTGGGAGGCTGGGTCTGGAGGATCACTTGAGCCCAGGAGTTTGAGGTTATAGTGAGCTATAATTTCGCCACTGCACTTCAGCCTGAGAGACAGAGCTAGACCCTGTCTCCAACAAAGAAAAAAAAAAAAAATGAGGCAATAGAGATTTAGAAAGTTTTAATTAACTTGTCCAGGATCATCCCTGGTAAGTGGCAGATCTATGATTCCAAATGCTACACCTTTTCCACTATGACTTGCTGACTCCTTAGAAATAAGGATTTCTGGATATAGTATCCAGTGTATGATAGCTGAACAAGATTAGGCAGAAGTAATCCTTTTGTAGAGAGTTGTAGAAATCCCAGTATCAGGCTTTCAAGGTAGTTGGGAGCTGTGGTAGTTGGAAGATAGAACTAATATTGGTGATTTTTACATCTGTAGGTATTTTTACTTGGAAGAGGAGAGAGTTTACAGAATCCAGAGTATCAGATAGGAAGCATCTTTAGTAGTCCAGGTACATGAAGGCTAAAGTGTAGGCCAGTGATTCTCAAATTGTCTGTGTCCTGTAATATCCTGAAATCCTGAAGTCAGATTCATAGACAATAAAATCTACCTATAAACATAACTTTTAATAATCAATATAATGCTTTAATTGAGACATAAAGGTGAAATATTTTATTAGAAAGCATGTCTACAGGCTGCGTGTGGTGTCTCGCTCCTATAATCCCAGCACTTTGGGAGGCTGAGGCGGGCGGATCACTTGAGGTTAGGAGTTTGCCCTGTTGGCCAGACCAGCCTGGCCAACAGGGCAAAACCCTGTCTCTACTAAAAATACAAAAATCAGCTGGGCGTGGTAGCACATGTCTGTAATTCCAGCTACTAGGGAGGCTGAGGCAGAACTGCTTGAACCCAGAGGGCAGAGGTTGCAGTGAGCAGAGATCATGCCACTGTACTCCAGCCTGGGCGACAGAGCAAGACTTTGTCTCAAAAAAGAAAAAAAGAAAATAACATGTTAACATGTCTACAATTTAAATGTTAATACTTAGACATTACTACATTAGAAAACGTAATGAGTAATTATTAGTTGCTGGCATATTGCACCAATTCATAGAATCACTGTGTGTGTGACAGCTACCGATGCAAATTGTTTATCAAATTATTATATTGACTCTTCAAATAGCAGAAGGACCATCATTCTTTACAAACTTATTTTTCCTAAATGGCGAACAATTTCTGGTAAAAATTTGAACAAAACAGTGGAATCTCCCTCAATTTACATGGCACTTGCACTTGTGGAAGATTCAGTCTGTACTAAAACAGTGTAATAATAATGATATATTCATATATAATAAAGTTCTGGACTAAGAGTATCATAAACTTTTCACCTACTTAATCTTTTAAAATTGAGGGATGCAAACAGTTCTTTGTTATACAGGATTGTCTCATGTATTTTAGGACTTCTTAGGATCAATAGTCTCCCATCCCCCAAATACCCTCCCTTCTATTCAAATTATTGTGCAACCAAACAGGGCCTCATGTACTTTCAGAATGTCCCTTAGGGGTTGTTCTGCTTCTTTTGGGAGTTCCTGGTCCAGGCAATGACAAATAATGAGGCAGAAGATTGTTGATAACAACTTTAGGCAACTTGGAAGTACTAAAAGCAGTGAGAAGCTGACAAAAGGTAAATATTAGGAAAGAAAAAAAATGGCCTAGGTGTGGGGCATATTTGGTAATTTTATTGAAAATAGAAAATAACGTTTGTCAATGAGTTGAAGAAAAAACTTTCATGCTATTTTAGAAATGTAATTCATTTTAAGGTTTATGAAATATATCTTCTTGGGCTGGGCATGGTGGCTCATGCCTATAATTCTAGCAATTTGGAAGGTCAGGTGGAAGGATTACTTGAGCCCAGGGGTTCGCTACCCAGGCTGGGCAACATAGTGAGACCCCTGTCTCAAAAGAAAAATCAAAAAGAAATAAATATATCTTGTCATATTTATTAAATAACTTTTTCTTAGGTAAGCTTCCCTTTTGAAACTGAGAACTAGTGTTCAGTAGCCTGTTTAAAAGATTAAAATAATTTTTAAAAATAGGCAAAATATCTATGTAGCATCTTGAATAAAATAACATTTTACAATTAATGGTTTAATAGAAGTCATGATCAAACTTTGCACTAGCAAAGCTGTTTCTCATGGAAAAGTAGAAAAGAAACTTTAAGAGAAGATTATTATCAAATTTTAAAGCAGTTTGAACAAAACTCAGTTTGTATGAAATGGTAGTCATTTAGTTTCATTACTTTCCTGAAAACTGTAACTCCTATTATTTTTATTTTTCTTCTATTTTTATTTTAGTTCAGGGGTACATGTGCTAGATGTGTAGGTCTGTTACACAGGTAAATGTGTGCCATGGTGGTTTGCTGCTCAGATCGTCTCATCACCTAGGTATTAAGCCCAGCGTACATTAGCTGTTCTTCCTGATGCTCTCCCTCCTCCCACCCTCACAACTGTTGTTATTATTAGGATAGTGTAACGTGTAAAAAAAAAAACTAGACACATACATGTTTCATTATAAACAATCCTGATATGTGAAAACTAAAACCTGTCAAACACACATATTTTCAGGCATTCATTTCCAAAAATAAGAAAGTACTTTTACTATTTTGTAATGATAACGTGGTTTAAAATATGCTTTAACAATACTTTGAAGCTTACATTGGTAATCACATGGATTATGTACTGTATACCTGTATTTTTCACTTTTTTTTTTTTTTGAGATGGAGTCTCGCTCTGTTGCCCAGGCTAGAGCGCAATGACTCGGCTCACTGCAGCCTCCGCCTCACAGGTTCACCTGAGTCTTCTGTGTCAGCCTCCCAAGTAGCTGGGACCACAGGCACCTGCTACCACGCCCAGCTAATATTTGTATTTTCAGTAGAGATGAGGTTTCTCCATGTCTGCCAGGCTGGCCTCACACTCCTTACCTCAAGTGATCCACCCTCCTCAGCCTCCCAAAGTGCTGGGATTTTAGGGGTGAGTCACCGCACCCAGCCTAACTGATTCTTCCCTACCGTTTTTTACACCATAGTAGAAGGCTAGAATGTTAAGTTTCATGGACAGGGACTTTATTTGTTCTCTGATATGTATTTCTAGCATTTATAATGGTGCCTGATGTGTGGTATGTGGGGAAAAGAAAGAGATCAGCCTGTTACTGTGTCTATATAGAAAGAAGTAGACATAAGAGACTCCATTTTGTTCTGTATTTGAGATGCTGTTAATCTGTGACCCTACCCCCAACCTTGTCCTTACAAGAGACATGTGCTGTGGTAACTCAAGGTTTAATGGATTTGGGGCGTGCAGGGTGTGTCTTTGTTAATAGAAAAGCTAGGTATTTTCCAAGGTTTATCTCCATGTGATAGGATGAAACAATGCTACTAAAAGGTTTATCTCTAGGCACAGGATTTTCCTTTAAACTTATTCATGTCACAGAGATCCTTGTTTTTATGTCTTACTGCTGATTTCCTCCCTAAAAACGATCCTATTGTCCTGCCACTCCCTTATCTTTAAGATGGTAAAGATAATTATCTATAAATACTAAGGGAACTCAGAGACCGGTGCCGGCGTGGGTCCTCTGTAAGCTGAGCGCCGGTCCCCTGGGCCCCCGCTTTTCCTTCACTATACTTTGTCTCTATGTCTTATTTCTTTTCTCAAGTCTCTCGTTCCACCTAACGAGAAACACCCACAGGTGTGGAGAGGCAGGCCACCCCTTCATGGTAAACATTCCAAAAAGAAATTGTTGAATGAATGAATGTTATTCTTGAATGGGAAGAAATGAGAAGAACTTTTCTTTTAGTGAATGGAGTCAGTGAGAATTTCCAGATGTCTACCAGTGAGAACCATAAACAAAAATAGAAAATTCAGCTTATTTAAAATGTAGCTCATTATAGTCTTCCCTGAACAGGCTGATTCTCTTCTTTCCCCTTTCTTGACTAGTGCCATCATCAACTCCACTTTCTCCTTTACCTCCACCGCTCAGTTCATCAGTCACTTAGCCTCATCTCCGTAATTGTTTTCTTGCTATTCCTTTCCTTGCTATTCTCTTAGTCTTTATCGTCTCTACTCTGGCCTGTAGTGATCG